TGAACTGGTAAGTTTGATGACCTGCTAATGATGGCTTTATTGTGGTTCAAGATAATGGCTTTTACATTGTTCATGCAGCTATAGCTAAGTTTGAGAGTGTTCCGGTTGAAAATTTTGTGCAGAGGATTTGATTTGGGAAAGTGTTTGTCGATTAAGGTGAGGAAGCACTTTCCAACTTTGGTTTTGACATTTTGGCTGTACGGAGGATTGAACCAGATGATGTTTCTGGGCCTATTCTTGCGGTGTTTGGTGTCTGGGGAAGATTTTCTGTAGGTGAGATTGTAATTGTAGCCGCTCTTGTTGAGGGCATCTTGGTAAGTACCTTTAGCTTTTTCAAAGGATTCCTTGTCGGAAGAAATTTCTGAGAGGCGCTTGTTTATGGATTCCGGGGTATTTTTTAGGATGGATGGCGGATGATTGGATTTCTTGTGAACATAGAGTGGGATGTTTCCTTCTTTTGTGTAGGGGTAATGCTTGCCAGATTGGAGGTCAAGGGTGACATCTAAAAAATTGACCTTAGTCATGTTGGCTTCGACTGTGATTTTTAAGTCGTTTTCACGGAAAATTTGGCAGAAACCCTTCTTGATTTTTTCGATCTGTCGGGGCTTTGTGTTGAATGAATCGCTACCGTTTTTTTCAAAATCACTATAAAACACCATGTATTGTTCCTTTTTGGCAGTTGCCTGATGATTGCTTCTCATGAAGCATGAAACTCTGAGTAGCAAGTAAATGTTTTTGACCTAGTTCAAGTCTACGTATCTATTCAAAGCTCTGGTAAACCCATTGAGCACTTTTTTTAGTTGATGATCAATTTGAATTTCGTCATTTCATTTCATTTTATATATATATATATATATATATATATATATATATATATATATATATATATATATATATATATATATATATATATATATATATATATATATATTTATTTATTTATTTATTTATTTATTTATTTATTATATAGACACGAGTGTTTTACTGGAAAATATACCACTCGTAAAATTCATAAAACTACATCCGGGACCTGAGTGGTTTATTTTCCATAATCTCACACGTGAGTTTATCGATGACGTAATTTCGGTCATTTTCCTCTATTATTTTATCCATGTCCTTTTGTCTATACAATAAAAAGAACATTACACGGCGGCTTGAAGATATGAATTTTATTTTCTCGTGGCAAAAACAATATTTTATTCACTCGCTGCGCTCGTTCGTAAAATATTTTTTTGCCACTCGAAAATAAAATTCATATCTTCGCGCCACCGTGTAATATCCTATATATATATATAAGAGGTTTGAACTTGAAATCCGTAAAACAGTGCTCAATACATAAAGTAGAGCGAGTATACGTATGGTTGACGGAAGAAAACAAGTAACTAGATAAGTATCCCTACAAGCCTGTTTCGTGGTTGCCCACTCATCAGGGGATTTTGATGAGAATAACTATACCATTACATATATATATATAAAAAAATTAAAAAATATATAAAAAATAAAAATATTAAAAAAAAAATAAATAAATAAATAAATAAAAATAAAAATAAAAAATATATAAATATAAAAATATAAATATATATATATATATTTATTTATACGAAATATCTGACCCTGAGGTAAATAGTTAACCTTGCAAAAAGCCAGAAAAGAAGGCAAGAAGGCAGGCAACTTTTATTTTCTGGAACTTTTTCTCCAGCAAGTTCTGTATTTATTTTCATTTTACTCTCTTTCTTTTCCTTTTTTTCCTTTTTTCTTTGTTCTTTTTAATGGAGTGCAAAAATCTTTTTTTTTTCCTTTTTCTTTTTCTTCTTCTTCTAAACTTCTTCTTCATCTCCTTTTTTTTCCGTTCTTTATTGACACTTGTCTGGTGTTTGCACATATCATAAACGGAGGGGCAGAGCCAAACCCCTTTCACCAGTTTTTTAAAGTGACTATCGGGTAGCAAAAAAATAAAAAATAAAAATAGCAAAAATAAGATATCTACCCACAAGTCTACATACGTTTACCTTACATAGAAGGGATAAAATGAATAGACGTGTGGTTCATATCTACCAACCACTTAATTATTCTAATAGCATGCAGCAAGATAGTCGTTTGCAAAGCGCTAACATTCTGGATCTTCTTGTAGCAGTTTTCCCGAGGAAGGTGGTAAGTTCCTCTCTCAGTCCTTTGCTGTATCATTTAGGGACATCCATTATAACATTTTTTTTGGTTAATCCTAAAATAAGGATGTCTCTTCCTAAGTTCGATTCTCCCGGTTGGGTGCTTCATGGTTTTACTCCCTTCCGTATCTGTCCTATTTCTACAACTCGGGCACGCCATCTCAATTACAGTATGTAGATCTCTTTCATCTTCTTGTCTCCGGGCGACAAAACGACTAAAGAGAGATTTAGTCGCTATTTATAGAACAATTCCTCGTTATTTCTGCATCTTTATTGCAATAGAAACTGCGAGCCTTCTGCCTCAGTGGAAGTGGCTTCTCACTCAATTTATGGGCTATGAGTAACTCCAAGAGAGGATAAAGGGGACAGAGAAGGCATCCCCCGTACACACCCTATTTCATAGGTAATTCGTCTCGAGTTATTTTTAAGACCACTGATCCCAAGGGGGATTAGACAACAGCCAATCACATAGCGCGAATGTTTTCCGCGTGGATGACCCACGCTCAGAGCCACTCGTCCTTCACGAAAAAAAATGGCGGAAGATGCGGAGAGCGAAATTGCTATTCGTTTTGTCGACGAAAACGACTAAAGAGAGATTTCTGCTAAAGCTGTGTCAGCGAAACGGGAATTGAAAAAGAATCGCCCTTCCTCTCTTGTGTAGAGCTAACAGTACAGCAGGGAAATCCTTAACACGCTGAATATTCTCTCAGAATCATTTATATTTTACAGTTTGAAGAGAGCAATTTATGGTTTGATATTTATTCTTTTATTAGTCTTTTATTATTCAACAAAAATAACACTTGGCGTCCTACTTGCTTTATTGTACAAACGACCGGTTTCAATAGACCGGCGAAATTTCTCATTTTATTAAAGCACTAAGGTTACGATAACTTCGAAAGAAACTGATTTCACGGGTCGTCAAAGTGTCCAGCGATTCTGTTTTCCCAGGTGAGTGCCAACTCATTCCGCTTCAAGATTCAGAAATGCTCTCGATCTCTTTACGTTTTCATTGCCTTTCGCCCGACATGTTTTGCACGGCATTCAGTCATGCGAAACCTCCACGAAACATCTACGCAGCGCGCGAGGTAACTTTGTCCCGATTCTAAAAATAACTCGAGACGAATTACCTATGGAATAGGGTGTGTATGGGGGATGCCTTCTCTGTCCCCTTTATCTTCTCTTGGTAACTCATTTAAAACTCTTTTTTATTATGTCAGTAAAGGCATGGTTTTTCTGCTAGCTCTGGACAACCAGATAGAATATGTTTCACTGTTTCGTTGAACTAGTGACATTTCCTGCATTTTCTCTCTGTCGCGCAGCTTATCTTTGCCTCCCGCACCCTTGTTCTAGTGAGTTGCTGATAAAATTATATTTCGTTCAGTGCGCACATCGTGTAGAGTGGGGCCGATTTCCATTTGTTGCTCCAATTAAATCACTCTGATAGTTCAACTGTTTCATCACAGAGTGAAGACTAGTCTACGAGCAAGCTCTCCATTTGGGGGATATCGTGAAAAGTAGACGCACGAGTGACACGCGAGAGGAGATGCTAAGGCCAGAGGCGGGGGAGAGAAAGGCCCCTCGGCCCCTCGCGGCTTCGCCGCTGCCTCGCACCTCGTATACATTTATAAATAAAATGTAAATGTGTATGTTGTTGTTGTTGTTGTCGGCGTCAAAGCAACTGCAGATCCAGGTGGCTCTTTGCTACGATTTTTAAACAAATCCTTAAGAAAGTAGAAGCTTCCTTGCCTCAACTCTAGTAAGCTACCAGCTGTAGTTACGACCAGAACTGTTTGTACTATGACTAAAAGCTATACAGCTGAATCCCGATAACTCGAACCCTCGCTAACTCGAACCAAAATCGATTTCCCCTGGATTTCTTTCATACATTTACTGTAATTTTACCCTTTGGTAACTCGAACCCTCGATAACTCGAACTCCCGCTAACTCGAATTAATTTTTGTCTCCACTCAGATCATTTCTATAATTTTACACTCGATAACTCGAACCATGTTTTGAGCGCTTGAAAAGTCGGAAAATATAAAAGTGCACTAGCGTCCGAAACATTGAGTTTTTAATTTCCCATTGACGTGTTGTAGGCATATAGTTTACAAGCAAAGGCTGACGTTTTTTGTCACAAGTCTAACGCATAACAACTTTACTTCCCAAAACAGTAAAAGCATGGTCTATTTAGGCTATGGTTTGTTACCTTCTGATTTATAATCTAGAGGTATCTTTAATTTTCACCCACTATTTCTACAACTAAATGTGATTAAAATGTTCCCTGTACGGTAAAAACTAATTTTTCCCTTACTTCCGGCTATTTGCTTCCAGCTCCCGAAAAGTCGAACTCCTGATAACTTCAACTTTACGTTTTCATTGCCTTTCGCCCGACATGTTTTGCACGGCATTCAGTCATGCGAAACCTCCACGAAACATCTACGCAGCGCGCGAGGTAACTTTGTCCCGATTCTAAAAATAACTCGAGACGAATTACCTATGGAATAGGGTGTGTATGGGGGATGCCTTCTCTGTCCCCTTTATCTTCTCTTGGTAACTCATTTAAAACTCTTTTTTATTATGTCAGTAAAGGCATGGTTTTTCTGCTAGCTCTGGACAACCAGATAGAATATGTTTCACTGTTTCGTTGAACTAGTGACATTTCCTGCATTTTCTCTCTGTCGCGCAGCTTATCTTTGCCTCCCGCACCCTTGTTCTAGTGAGTTGCTGATAAAATTATATTTCGTTCAGTGCGCACATCGTGTAGAGTGGGGCCGATTTCCATTTGTTGCTCCAATTAAATCACTCTGATAGTTCAACTGTTTCATCACAGAGTGAAGACTAGTCTACGAGCAAGCTCTCCATTTGGGGGATATCGTGAAAAGTAGACGCACGAGTGACACGCGAGAGGAGATGCTAAGGCCAGAGGCGGGGGAGAGAAAGGCCCCTCGGCCCCTCGCGGCTTCGCCGCTGCCTCGCACTTTCTCGCGCGGCTCGCTTCGCTCGCCCAAATATAAGAGCTTGCTAGCAGGCTAAGTGGAAACACAATCTTCGCCTGCCAGACGCTTCCTTTGATCTCCACTTTTGTCTTACATCATCCAAGATCCTTTTGGCCAGCAACATTTTTGCGCTGTGAGGTCTGAGGCAGTGTAAGTTCTCCCTTCTGTTGTTTCAAATGAAAGTTTGGGATCATCGGTTGCCACTTAAAGTTCATCCTCATTCATGACCATAGCACATTTCGTAACATCTAAGCATTGATATTCAGCTTTCTACCTCCTTACCTTCTTGGAATTGCACAACGGCCTGCAATTTCGGATCTTTAGATGTGGTGATTCTTAAAGGTGACTTGTTCTTGGTTTCTTTATGGATCGATGTTTGTCACTTCCTCGAGCCTGCGGCCACCAACTGAACGGGATGCGTAGAGCAAGGTGTTAAGGTGTAAAGCACTGGCATAAAGAACGTGAGTACCGGCAAGACAAATATGTTGATAGCGTTTTATGTGACACTTGTCTTGTGACACCAGAATGAGGCGTTCTGGTTGGGCGACAACATCATGAATATTTAATAAGTTTGGGAATTGCTGTTTGAGTTTTTCAATAGCTTCTGTTAGGTCTTTAGCAAAAAGAGTCTTACATTTCGCGCTGATTTGTTTCCTCCTTTTCACGCGTCTTTTCGTCATCTTTGGTTGCTTTTGTATAGCCCCGTGTTCGCCCGAAGCTTTTGATAAATGCTGTCCCACTGCAAAATTTTCTTATTCACATTTCACATTCCTTGGCCTTTGCTTTCGTCCCCAAGGGGTTTTTTGATAGTCATCGTTCACATGTCGCCAAGCAACGGCAACTGAATAGGCGATATAATTTAATTTCCACAGCTTTTCGTCAGGTTCCAATTCGGTACACCCGACCTTTTTAGAAATTAGCCTATCTGGTACTTAATTTAAGATCTTTTGTTCTTTAGTTGCTGGAACATTCCTCGCTTTTTTGACTACTAGCGTTTGTTGAGGTTCCATCTATCATCATAGATCTCATTGTATACTTCCATCGCCTTGTTGAACAGGATTAAAAGAATTTCGGATTATCCATTGTATTCTTCCGTCGTTGATAGCCTTGTTGTTCCAGGCATCGTTCTGTTTTGCTCTCCTGTGGGCTGGGACTCTTGATTTGTAAAGTTTCTTTCGCCTTCAATAGCAGTGGATTCATTTGCATTTTCTCTCCCAGATTCACTTTCTTGGATAGGATTGCTGTTTTCTGCAATTTCAGACAGCATATGTTGTTCCTTCATGTCATCTCTCAGAGTTTTAGAGCCTCTTTCTGCTTTTGCAACTCTATCGGACAAATTCTCTACAAAAACGTGCATCTGCAGGTGTTCATAGCCCATCTCGTTCCATTTCCGACACAAAACATTGGGCAGCCCTCGTGTCTGTTTGTTCCATTTCATCTCTTACAACGTAATAGGTCCATTAATATTTGTGGATTCCAATTCACTTTCTTTTTGCCCGAACTATTCATGTTAATTTTTCTTTCATTCTTTTTTTTTCCTTTTAACTTCAGGTTCCGTTGCATTTTCAAGAAGATCATCGCGCCGAATGCTTATTGTTCTCGGGACATTTACTTCCCGTTTCACAAAGTTTGTAGAGCTGCAAGGTCATATTACGCCCAATCATGCACAGACAGGCTATAAAGGCGCTTGAACCATTGGTTGACGAGAATGAACGACGATGGTCATATCAGATCAAGATGGCAAACCTGACGTGAGCTGCGAGGTGCTCCTACTCAAACGACAAGCCACTCTGCGAAGTTCTAATCACGTGATTTTCCCACTCATTGATCACATGCTGTTATTTACTCTATCACGCATGCGAATATTACTAAATTGGTAGATACATTTTTTTTTTAATTTCGATACGTATGCTTATGCACGTGATCCCCACCTGCCAGTGATAATCGGAATTGTAACAAGAGAAATTGTGGGCGTATAAGAAAATGAATTATAATGTAATCTCTATAAAATAAAATCCAAAAAAAGTTATTGCTTCGAGGAAACAAGAGCTATAATAACGTAAATGCACTTACAGTATGTCATAGTATTCGCGCATTTTCTTAGAGAATTGCCAATTGTTTCTTAGTCAACAGTCAGCAGTTGAAAGTTATAACCAATGCCGATCGTAAAGTGTACATTTTTCTACCGTTAATTATTGCCCAAATCAAATACTAGATTCAGTCTTGCTGCGCGTCTTCAATTACACATCTCTGAAGACAAAAAAATGTGGTAAGAACATCAAAAAGCAAACCATTAGCCGGCGCGAACTTTTGTTTTCCTTTCGTTATTTACCACATTTCCGTGTGACCCTATAACTGAACAGAGGCATACATTATCAGTGGGTAATTATTTTTAATACCTGACTTCTTTTATGTCGAAGCCAATGAAGCAAATCTCCATGAGCGATGTACTCTATCATGAGTAGAATTGGTTTAGTTGTGGTCCAACATCCAAAGAAACTCAGAACATTTTGATGTTTTCCAACCTTCTTCATGAGCTCGATTTCATCCATAAATTCCCTTCTCTCTTCTTCTTTGGCGTTTTCTGGCAACAACAAGGATAGTTCGGTGCAAGAAAGAAAAAAATAGCGATCACCATAACTTCGTCTCCCATAAAAGTGAAATTCTGCAATTTTTTTTTTTTTTTACTGTTACACATCTACATTAATTCACAATGTGAGCTTCAATGCCACATTATTTTTCATGCATCGTTAATTTATTATTATTAAGTGGCTTTTGGACAGGTGACCGCCCTTATTTCTGGAAACGACGCTGGTGGTGAATAAATGCTGAAAGTCACATTGCAACAAGAAGCGAAAAGTCTGAATTTTCAAACTTAAACTCACCAAAAAGTTCTTTGACCGCAATAATTTTCTGCTTTCTAGGCCTGCTAGGCCACTCTCGCTCGTCTTCAAAGTATGCCATACCGTCTTTTAGTGTCGCCTTGTGAACTTTACCAAATGCTCCTTCACCCACCAATTCAAGAAATTCTGTTCTCATTGGAGGAATTTCGCAACCGTCCAAAACCTGGATGTCCTTTGCTGTCCTACAATGTTTAAAAACAATAGCCTCTGAGCCTCTCCACAACGGCCACCTTGGGGACAGTAGAAAGTGGCCTTTGTAGACAGGTGGCCGTTGTAGAGAGGTTTAAACAAGAGTCAATGTATGGACTGTCCTCCGAACAAAGTGGCTGTAGTAGAGACGTGACCGTTGTGTAGAGGTGGCCGTTAGTGGAGGTGGGACTATACTTTAAGTTCTAGAGCGCCCATTTAATCAAATTGAAAAATTTGGCCGAACAAAATTTATTTATCGCTAGATGACCAGATTTTCTTTCTCGTGGCGTTCCGACGCGCAGCCTCACCGTAATGAGCTCTACTACAATTATGATGTATTTTAAAGGCCTAACACGTCAAAAGAGACTACATGGCTCAGGTGGACGCAAATATCCCGGTATGTTGGGTATATATTGCATCTTTTAAAATGAAGGAAAAGAGGAATTTTAAAAGCAGATTGTACCCACATACCTCTTAGTGGATTGGTTTCCTTTCTTTCTGTATTGATTGATACACACTGCCAGCAGTACAGCTCCCACGATTGTAAGTAAACCGGCGAAGATATAGATGAGAATATACACCAGAGAAATACCTGTAATTTTAAATATGACAATTTTTCGCTTTCAGGATCTGCATTGGCTGATGTCCTTGACAAAGAATAGCGTTACAACTTTCTTGGGACTGTATTTATTCTTTTTTATAGTTAATTAAATCTGTTGCACTAGATAGATGATCAATAAATAAGTGTCGTCCTAAATACATGTCTAATGGAGGAAAATATGAGCAGGATCATTCTGTAAATATTTTCTTTCGTTAGACTGATACACTCAAACACCTTCTTTATGTATGGAGTGTTTTCACTCATGTGCCCAGCATCTATGCAAAATAATTGGAGCAAAAGCAAGCGTTTACACAAAAAAAGTCAATTTAATCCTCGCAAGACTGGTTAACCTTCATGGCTGCCGTTTTGTCCCTTTCAGTGGAATTTCGATATGGCCGCCGTGAAGTCATGTCAAAACGCTCTATACAATGACCACCATTTGCACATTGTATGCACAATTATATACCTCTTTTATTATTCTTTACTGCATCCCTTTCTGTTGTGTAAGTCTTAGTAGTAATGGGGCTCGGTCCCACTTCATTCCACGCCAAGACCTGGAACTCATATTCCGTAGAACATTCTGTCTCGATCTTCTGGCGATTGGTATTTCTCTCTGTAATGTTCAATCTGGTCCACTCATTTTCACCTTGTCGTCTGTAGCTTATTGTATGAAATAGTACAGGGCAGTCACTTGATGATGGTTCCCGGAGCCATTGTACAAAGACAGCACACTCATTTTCATTTTCGCTCGATATAACGTCGAACACGGGCGTGTTAGGGACACCTATAAAACACGACATAACAATAGGCTGATTTAGGAACAGAACGGGAACGGCAGTTGACGACGGCAAAGCGCGTGGAAAGGACTAAACACGACTTCCGGTGCCCAATTTGTCGCTCAGCCATTGGTCAAGCCAATTGTTTGATTTGCGCGCGCCGTCGTCAACTGACGTTCCCGTTCTGTCGCTAAATCAGCCTAATAAGACGACGAGAACATGCATTATCCTATAGCTAATAAAACATTCCAACCTATATCTTCTAGCCAAATTCATTGTCTCGCGCTGCGCGTTTTGCAAACTTCGAAGAAATTTTGGGTTTTTCTGTTCCGTTAATCACCGTAGCGGACCTCTTAGAAAACACATGTTTACTTGTGATTAGTGCATTTCGATCCACTTTCAGTTGTTTGTTTCTGACTAGATTTCTTCGAAGATTTTTCCGATCTTTCTTATTCTTGTATCTCAAAAGAACAAAGCAATGTCTTTCAGTCTTATCAGTTAGTAATTCAAATTTTAATTTGTTTAATTTAATTTTTGGCCTAATTTTACCCGTAGGATATCTGAAAACTATCCCTATGGCTGAGCATATTTACAACGTATACATTTATAAATAAAATGTAAATGTGTATGTTGTTGTTGTTGTTGTCGGCGTCAAAGCAACTGCAGATCCAGGTGGCTCTTTGCTACGATTTTTAAACAAATCCTTAAGAAAGTAGAAGCTTCCTTGCCTCAACTCTAGTAAGCTACCAGCTGTAGTTACGACCAGAACTGTTTGTACTATGACTAAAAGCTATACAGCTGAATCCCGATAACTCGAACCCTCGCTAACTCGAACCAAAATCGATTTCCCCTGGATTTCTTTCATACATTTACTGTAATTTTACCCTTTGGTAACTCGAACCCTCGATAACTCGAACTCCCGCTAACTCGAATTAATTTTTGTCTCCACTCAGATCATTTCTATAATTTTACACTCGATAACTCGAACCATGTTTTGAGCGCTTGAAAAGTCGGAAAATATAAAAGTGCACTAGCGTCCGAAACATTGAGTTTTTAATTTCCCATTGACGTGTTGTAGGCATATAGTTTACAAGCAAAGGCTGACGTTTTTTGTCACAAGTCTAACGCATAACAACTTTACTTCCCAAAACAGTAAAAGCATGGTCTATTTAGGCTATGGTTTGTTACCTTCTGATTTATAATCTAGAGGTATCTTTAATTTTCACCCACTATTTCTACAACTAAATGTGATTAAAATGTTCCCTGTACGGTAAAAACTAATTTTTCCCTTACTTCCGGCTATTTGCTTCCAGCTCCCGAAAAGTCGAACTCCTGATAACTTCAACTTTTTTCGATTTCCCTTAAAGGTTCGAGTTATCGGGAGTCGACTGTATAACGAAAAGCTATTTAAGCGACCGCCTCTGGTTCTCATATGCGACTATTCATTGAACACTTGAATAAGAGCATGTGATTAAACTTTAGGTAATACATAACATAATCCGGCTCTAACATCCCATTGAATTTGAATAAGATGTCGTAATGGAAAAAAGAATGTATGGGTAATTAATAACATATACATGTACCAACCTTTCTGTTAAACGTTCTCGTAAGCGACCGTCCCTATAGGTTTATCACATTGTTGCTTTGATAAGAGATTCCAATTTGATTTTGGTAAACGAATCCAGCCGTAGGAGTGCGAGGGCTTTTACGAATTACAAAGGCGGTCGCTTACAAGAGTTTCGTCTCTAATTGAGATGGGGGAAAGAACCTCACAACCCACGAGATTAATTTAAAATTGGAGAGACAGTAATAGGATCGGGAGTTGGTTGGACGAATTGGGTCACACTTGACAAATTTTCGTGGCAAATCACCTGCTTGAATCGTAGATACTTTTGACACCTCAGAAGGCCAACCATATCCCATTTTGTCTTGCGCCATTACTCTTACATGGTACTTGCTGTTTGGCTTAAGATGGGTAAATAGACATGACTGAGTTGACTGAGAAACGTTTTTTGTTGTCCATTGTCCTTCGGAACTGGCCGGTTTTATCTGTGCAAGGTACCCTGTCACCATTCCTCCTTCGGCGTCACGTGATGGTGGATTCCAAGTTAAGTTTATAGAGTTACAGCCTCCTTCAAAATCCAAATCCATGACGGAATATGTAACATCTTTTAAAAGTGAAAGCAGTTTTAGTATAAATCAACAAAAATAAAATAAACCCTTGCATAAAAACAGCAGAGATCGTTTAGGTCAGCAAAATACAACTGCCCTCCAAGCTGAGAAAATTGTATGGTACAATTAATTTTAAGATTTATACGGTGAGAGAAATTATGAAAGCATTAAAATCTTTAACCTGCAATTCCATTGATATTTTCTGCTAAACGTTTTATCAACCTTAGTTTTTGGCTACCAAAAAGTCTTAATAAGGCTGTGGTGCTTTCATTGCCCCAGCCTTAAAAAAGCTTTTTTCCTGTTATTATCATGATTCACTCTTAGCAAGAAATTTTTCCTTATTAGATATTCATTCCTTACTTGCTTACTTGGACCCATGCTATGAGTTTTATCACATAGAGTAAGGTTTTTTTTGTGTCGTTGGCTGATACGAATTTGAAATTCAGGTGTTCTAAGAAACATCGCAAACTTTTGATCAAAGGAATAGTTTTCTTTCCAAATACTCTAATAAGCTAAAATTCCATGTGGGATAAGAATTTGATTGCAGGTCAGAAAAATAACGTATTCTAAACTACATATTTAAATTTCGAAACAGGAAAGCTCTTCGGTCTTTGAAAACATGACAGCCGCACACTCTCAAACACACGGGAAGCAACACAATATGGCTCTCTATATTAATTATTTAACGAAAGAAATTATGGTTAAATTGTGCTGTTCTCGGTTCCTATGCCGTACTTACTTTACTGCGCCCCAGGTTATTCCAAGCAAAGACAGTTACTTCATACTTCTTGTTATGTTGGAATTCAAGCTCGAAACTTGTTAAACTGGCGTTGGTTATATTTATTTCCGTTATTCTAATATCGGAGCTCTCTCGCGCGAGAAGCGCCAGCAGCGGAGCACAATAGGTAAGAAAATTTGGTAATCTATGCACCCAAGAAACTTTGGGTCTGAGAAAATCGTCCGTATGTACGTCCACCCCTTCATGTAAGCCGGAATGAAATTTTGCATTCCACGCACCCGCGCGTTTCGGCGGTAAATCGCATAGTTTCCCTGCCTTTTAGAGATAAAAACAACGACAACAAAAGCCGATTCTTTCTATCGACTTAATTTCAATGTCTACGTTGACGTGGATAACAGAGAGAGAACTACAATCCCTGACAAAACTACTTGAGAAAGTTCTCCCCATCATGTCTACTTTCCTACGGGGCAACAAAACTATTTCCAAAACGACGCCTTTGCGGAAAGAAATCCCCTTCCCCCAGTTCAATGTTGCTTCCTACAAACGCCCAGGGAAAAGGCTTTCTTTTGAATACACAACAACATTGCTTACAGGGGAAGGGGGAGAGGGAAGAACCGTTACAGCTACGATGTTTGGAAAAATGTTCCCCAAGTATACAATTTTCTCAACAGTTTTGTCCAAGATTGTAGAGCGAGAGATAAAAACCAAAGGAGACCAATTTCGTTGAAAGAAAAACAAAAATTTTATAGCAGTGGTGAGAAAAAGGGGAAATGCTAGCTTCCACCAAGGTGGAAATGAGCGGCAGCGAAAAAAGAAGTGAACAGGAACACATACAACACTTCCTCCATAAAACGTGTAACTAGGAAGTCTCTGGAAGTTTCACGTTGTAGTCGTGCAAAACAACGGCAAAGAAATGTACCAAAAAAGCGTGCAAAGTTGTTTTTTGCTGATCAGAAAAAAAGTGTGCTGCATACTGATTTTTTTGGCTGTTATACGATTTTATATTTTGTGTAGTAAACTATAGGTATTAACTAGAGCTTCGTTTTTAGCTAAATCTATATATTAATCCTAGATATGGATCATGGTTGTCTTGCTCTGCTTTGGTTAGCAGTTCCTTTACCGTTTGAACTTATTTTTCAACGAGACTATTTGCTTGTGGCTATACCGGACTGGTGGTAGTTTGTTTGAACTCCCACTGTTTCGTGAATGACTCAAATTCCTTGGATGAATACTGAGGATCATTGTCACTGATTACCTCACATGGTATTCCATGATGCGCAAAAGCAGATTTCATGCGGATGATGACCGTGTTAGTTTTGGTGCCTGGCAGTTTGGCTACTTCAAAAAATCGCGAGTGGTAATCTACAATAATGAGGTACTCTGATTTATCCCAGGTGAACAGGGCTGTTACTACCTTTTTTGCTTGGTAATTGTGAGGGAATTATTGGCTCCTTTGCATTTAGCTTTTGGTGTTGTTGGCATGTACTGCATCTTGCAATCTTTTCCTGAATTTCGGAACCCATCCCAGGCCAGTATAACACATCTCATGCTCGTCCCTTGGATTTCTCTATGCCCATGTGGCCTTGATGAATTCTCTCTAACATTTCCTTCCGCATAGAGGTAGAGATAAGAATTCTTTCACCCCTTAGAATGATACCGTTCAGTTCAGACAGTTCATCTCTCACTTCCCAATACATGCGGGTACTGTTACTGACACAGGCCTTAATTCTTTCTGGCCATCCACGTTTGATGATTTCAATGAGGTCTTTCAACGACTCGTCTTTGGCTGTTTCCTCTCGTATTCTTCAAGTTTGGGTTTTGAGACTGGCAAGCTTGACTGTATCAGGTGAATTTGTGGTATAATTTCCTCTTCCACGTTGTTGATATCTGTTGTCTCAGGAAATGGTGCGCAGGACAGCATGTCTGGGAGTACTAACTCCCTTTCGGGCTTATATTCTAGCGTGTAGTCGTATGTTTGCAGAATTCTTTGTAGTCCGGGTGGTGCTGTCGCTAAGGGTTTCTTCACAATTATTTCTAGGGGTCTGTGATCGGAGTCTACGTGCACTTTCTTTCCATACGTGTATTGGTTGAATCGCTCCAGGCTGAACTAAACTGCCAACATTTCCTTTTCTATCTGAGCATATCTTGATTCGGCCCCAGTTAACGATCTTGATGCGTAGTAAGCCACGGGACAATTGTCTTGCTGCAAGACTCCACCTATCCCTGTAGGTGAGGCATTGCAACTGATGGTTACTGATGGTTTTTGTACATAAAAAAACTTCAGAACAGGACCTCCACTCTCAGTTAAGACACTCTTAATTTCTTGAAAGGCTTTGTCTTGATCATGTGACCACTGAAATTCAATGTCCTTTCGCAGAAGCACCCTAATGGGCTCAGTGACAGATGCCAGATTGGGAATGAATTTTCCGAGGTAGGTCACTGTACCGAGCAATCTTTCAACTCCTTTCTTGTCAGTTGGTGCCGGTATGTCTTTAATGGCGTAAACTTTTTCATCATCGGGCTTGATCCCCTCTTGTGTAAGTTTGTGACCAATGTAGGTCACCTCCTTGACTTTGAAAACACATTTTGCCCTTGTTTAGTGTCGAGTTAATCTTCTTACATCGATCCAGAACCGAGTTTAGACGAGCATCATCTTTCATTTCAGTGTCAGCGTGTACAATTATGTCATCAATGTCAGTTTCAACACCTTCCAGGTCACCAAAGTGTTGACTCATTGTTTTCTGAAACACTTTTTGAGCAGATTTAATGCCAAAAATGGGGCAACTTGATAGCAAAACCTTCCGAATGGCGTATTGAAGATGGTAAGTAGTAGACTATCTTCATCTAGTGGTATCTGCCAATAGCCTCGATTTTCATCTAACTTGGTACCTTGATAACTTCAATGGTGGGTAGCTGAAAATGTTCTCTTTTTATGCCTCTGTTCAGGTGTCTTGGATCCAAACAAATGCGCAAACTACCATCAGCCTTTTCAACAATGGCCATTGAATTAAGATATCACTCCTCGCTTCTCCATGTCATTCAACTCTGCTTTCACTCTCTCTCGAAAGGCGGCTGGTATTGTTCTAAGAAGATTTATAACTGGTGAAACAGTTGGATCAATTTCAACGTGTTCAGGTTTCTCTAAACGCCCCAGACCAGTACAGACTTGTGCATATTTCTGAAGGACCTCTTCTTTCAGTTCTTCAGATGTCTTTGTAGTTTGGCTGCTATTATCATTGGTTTCTTCCCTCTCTGTTTTTGCTGTCAACTTTAATTAGGCCCAAGTTTTGTGAGGAACGAAGTCCCAGTAATCCTGGCTGATTTGTTTCCACTACATGGAATTTTAGCTCTTGTTCAACATCTGACTTGGATTTCACAGGCAATTTTATGATTACTAGTACCTTGAGTTTATCTTCTGAGTAGCTAACCAGTTTTTGTTTGCACAGATCCATTTGGGGGTTGTCCCCTTCAATCTTCTTGAGTTCCTTAAGTGGCATTATGTTCAATTGCGAACCAGTGTCCACTTTTAGTCGCATAAGTCACGTAACACTCGTCATTCCGAATCTGAACTTCTCCAGTGACTGCTCCTACAAACAGTGGAGGCTCACAGTCATTCTCCTCTTCTTCTTCTGCCATTATCCCATAGACTTTCTTTCGTGACCAGCACATGCTCTGGAAGTGATGCTGTTTCTTGCAATTGTGACATGTCTTGCCATATCTGGGCATTCTCTTACACCATGTCTTGTGCCACAGTTTCTGCAATTAAAAATCTTGCTTGAGCTGGGACTATCTTCGTTGGCTGAGGGTGTTCTTCTGAATGGTGTTTCTTTTTGCCACTCCAATTCTATGTACGGCTGGGTCGTTTGCCATGTCTCTTAGTTGTGTCTCTGCTGCAACTGCAGATAGAACCACATCTATAGCCTTTTCCAGGGTGAGATCTGAAATCCTGAGCAATCTCTCTCTTGTCCTTGTGTCACTGATGCCAAGTATAATTCTATCTTTGATAACGGAGTTCTTCAATGTACTGAATTCACATGTTTCACTCAGCTTTCTCAACACAATAAAATATTGACCAATGGTTTCGCCACTTTTCTGGGCTCTTGAAAAGAACTTCTATCTCTCGTAACTGACATTTTTCCTCGGTTCACAGTAGTCCTCGAGTTTTTCTAATACTTTATCGATTGTTTTTGTCATCATCTTCTGCATCCCATGTCAGAGTGTTAAAAACATCGATAGCATCGTTGCCAATGACTGTTAGCAGCGTAGCTACTCTGGTTGCACTTTCCTTCGTGTTTACGCCAGTTGCAATTTCGTAATTTGCGTACTTTTGTTTTGAACTTCTTCCGGTTTTCTGAGACGTTTCCGCCTCGTAGATCGGGTGGTTCCGGGGAAGGGAGGCCTAAATGGAACGCCATTTCATGTGTACTTGCGAGGTCGTCTTGATCCGTACTTTCGGCGCTTCCTTGAGTTGTATTTCCGTTATTTAAGTGAGGTGTACCTCCGTTTTCTGCTAGTGTATTTCCGTTTTCTTCAGGTGCGTTTTCTTCCTCTATAGGATCGACATTTCCTGCTCCAGTTGCCGTTTCTTGGGACATGTACTTTTCCAAATCGCCGATGTCAATAGCCGGACTTTGCGTTCTGTCTTCGTTCCAAAACTTCACTCTAGAGTTGCAGAATATACTTCTCGCGCTTTACTTCTGACACCGTGTAAAAATCTTTACTAACAACTAGGACGGTTGAGGATTCCAAACAGTTTTAATCTCTAGTACGGAACATGGCCGAGGCTCACACACTAATAATTATGTACGCATGCGAACGGAAATACCGCTGATCATTACAAGATAGATGAGTCAATTAATGCGCCGTCCTAAATACATGTCTAATGGAGGAAAATATGAGCAGGATCATTCTGTAAATATTTCCTTCCGTTAGACTGATACACTCAAACACCTTCTATATGTACGGAGTGTTTTCACTTATGTGCCCAGCATGTACGCAAAATGATTGGAGCAAAAGCAAGCGTTTACACAAGAAAAGTCAGTTTAATTCCTGCAAGGTTGGTTGGAACACCTTCATGCATGGCTGCCGTTTTGTTTTGTTTTGTTTTTTTTTCAATATGGCCGCTGTGAAGTCATGTCACAACGCTCTATATAATGAGCACCATCTGCACATTTATGCATATATACCTCTGTACGTCTTTGTAGTAAAAGGGCTCGATCCTACTTCATTCGTCGCCACAAGCTGGAACTCATATTCCGTAGAACATTCTGTCAAGATCCTCTGACTATTGGCATTTTTTCCTGTAACATTCAATCTAGTCCACTCATTTTCACCTTGTCGTCTGTAGCTTACTGTATGAAATAGTACAGGGCAGTCACTTGATGATGCTTCCCGGGACCATTGTACAGAGACAGCACACTCATTTTCTTTTCCGCCTGATATAACGTCGAACACGGGATTGTTAGGGACACCTATAAAACACGACACAGCAATAAGAAGACGACAACAAACTTCGAAGGAATTTTGGGTTTTCGGGTTCCGTCAATCACCGTAGCGGACCTCTCAGGAAACACATTTTTACTTGTGATTAGTGCATTCCTATCCACTTTGTTTGTTTCTGTGTACTAAGGTTCGTTCTTTGTGATCGCCCTGTTTCGGGCAATAATCAACTAGTTTTCTTCGAAGATTTTTCTGATCTTTCTTATTATTGTCTCTTGCAAGAATAAAGCAATGCCTGCCCACTGCCCTCTACAAAAAGTCGACCCATCATCGCGATTTCCTTCGCTGTTCTTGAGCAGTCTACAGTTATTCTCAGTTTTGTTTTTGAGGGTCAAACTGGGCAAGTGCGTTGCATCGTGATTTGCATTAACTCCGCCCCCACTCAAATGATTGACGGAAAAGAAAACCCATTCCAAGTTTGCAAACTCGCAGCGCGATACAACAAATTTGGCTATAAAAGCGTGTGGGTATCTTGTTGTTTTTGTTGTTGTTGTCAACGTTTGTTATTAAATCATAATTTCAGGTTAAGGTATTTAATCTTATCAGTTAGTAATTCAAATTTTAATTTGTTTAATTTAATTTTTGGCCTCATTTTACCCGTGGGATATCTGAAAACTAGTCGTATGGCTGAGCATATTTGCAACGGAAATAAGGTGTAAATGTGTATGTTGTTGTTGTTGTTGTCGTCGTCAAAGCAACTGGAGATCCAGGTGGCTCTTTGCTACGATTTTTAAACAAATCTTTGAGCAAGCCGTAGCTTCCTTGCCTCCACTCTCGTAAGCTACCAGCTGTAGTTACGACCAGAAACGTTTGAACTATGACTAAAAGTTATACAGTTGAATCCCGATAACTCGAACCCTAGCTAACTCGAACCTCGCGCTAACTCGAACCAAAATCGATTTCCTCTGGATTTCCGTCATACATTGTACATTTACTGTAATTTTACCCTCGGTAACTTGAACCTCTCGCTAACTCGAATTATTTTTTGTCTCCCCTCAGATCATTTCTTTAATTTTACCCTCGATAACTCGAACCATGTTTTGAGCGCTTAACAAGTCGAAGAAAAAGAGTGCACTGGCGTCCGAGTTGAGTTTTGAATTTCCCATTGACGTGTTGTAGGCATATAGTTTACAAGCGAAGGCTGACGTTGTTTGTCACAAATCTAACGTGAAACAGATTAACTTCTCAAAACAGTAAACGCGTGGTCTGTTTAGGCTACGTCTTGTTACGTTTACGTTTTGATTTATAATCTAGAATTATCTTTCAATTTTCACCAACCATTTCTACAATAAAATGTGATTAAAATGTTCACTGTACAGTAAAAAAAAAACAGTTTTTCCCTTACTTCCGGCTATTTACTTCGAGCTCTCGATAACTCGAACTCCCGATAACTTGAATTTTTTTGGATTTCTCTTAGGAGTTAGGAGTGCGAGGACTTTGACGAATTACAAAGGCTGTTGCTTACGAGAATTTCGTCTCTAATTGAGATGGGCGAAACAACCTCACAACCCACGAGATTAAGTTAAACTTGGAGAGACAGTCATAGGATCGGGATTCGGTCGGAAGAATTGGGTCAAACTTGACATATTTTCGTCACAAATCACCTGCTCGGGGAATCGTAGATACTTCAGAAGGCCAACCATTTCCCATTTTGTTCTGCGCCACTACTCTTACATGGTACTCGCTATTTGGCTTAAGATGGGTAAATACACATGATTGAGTTGACTGAGAAACGTTTTTTGTTGTCCATGGTCCTTCGGAACTGGCCGCTTTTATGTGTGCAAGGTACCCTGTCACCATTCCTCCTTCGGCGTCACGTGATGGTGGATTCCAAGTTAAGTTTATAGAGCTACAGCCTCTTTTAAAATCCAAACGCATAACGGGATATGGAACATCTATCAAAAGTGACAGTAATTTTAATATACTAAATAAATAAATCCTTGCATGAAAAGAGCAGAGATCATTTAGATTAGCAAAGACTTTTAAGAAATACAACTCCGCTCCAACCTGAGAGAACTGTATGGTATAATTTTAAGATTTATACGGTGAAAGAAATTTTGAGAGTATTAAAATCTTTAACCAATTCGATTGAGGTCTCCTGCTAACAGTTTTACCAACCTTAGTTTTTGGCTTCTCAAAAGTCTTAATAAGGCTATGGTGCTTTAATTGCCCCACCCCCGGAAAGCTTTTTTCCTGTTATCATCATAATTCACTTTCAACAAGAAAGTTTTGCTTATTAGATATTAATGCCTTACTTGCTTACTTGGACCCATGCTATTTGTTTTATTACATAGAGTAAGATCTTTTTTAGTGTTATTGGCCGATATGAGTTTGAAGTGAGTCGTCTTTTAAGGAACATCGCAATCTTTTTGTCAAAGGAATAATTTTCTTCCCAAAATACTCTAATAAGTTAAAAATCCGTAAGCATGTCAGAAAAATAACGTATTCCAAAATACATAATTATATAACTTTCGAGGCAGGTAAGCTCGTCGATCTTTGAAACCATGGCCGCCGCACACGCTCAAACACACAAGTCCAAGAAGCAACACAATATGACTCTATATTTATTTAATCATTTAACCAAAGAAAGTATGTTTACATTGTGCTGTTCTCACTTCCCATGCTGTGCTTGCTTTACTGCTTCCCAGGTAATTCCAAGCAAAGACAGTTACTTCATACTTCTTGCTGTGTTGGAATTCAAGCACTAAACTTGTTAAACTGGCGTTGGTGGTATTTATTATTCGCGTTATTTTCTCGGTGGCTGGTTGAACTACTTTGTAGCGCAATGAATACATGGTGATGTTGCAGTATCTCTCGTTTGGGCGTGTCCACTGCACTGTTACAATGGGTTTCATCCCAGGGATTTCTGTTTCATTGTTTATTATTTCGGAAACATCGGGCGGTCCTATAATAAACTAATGAATTAATTATCTCCATAAAGAAAAACGATGTTTATCAGCGAAGAAAAATCAATTAATTGGTGTTACAGGTAAAGCAGAGGTGTAACCATATAAATGAAAACGCTCAAAGGTTAACATGACACAATTAGAAAATGAATGCAACTATTGTGATAAGAAAGGAGAACGAATGAGGAAATAATAACGACAATCTTTATTGAGGATGCCTACTTCACCCCAAAGTACTTTACAGAAGGGTCCTCCTACTAAAAATCATTAAGTGAATAAGACAAATCTATAACTAAATTAGAACTTACTATGAACTAAGTATGAGTAAATCAAATCACCCTAAAGTGCTTTACAGAAGGGTCTTTCTACTAAAAAACTTTAAGTGAATAAGGCAAATCTATGACTAAATTAGAACTTACTATGAATTAACTATCAATTAATCAAATGATTACATTGCAGATGGCCTTTTTAAATTTGTCAAGTGACTTGAGCTTCCTCAATGACTTGTCTAGATTATTCCATTGGTTCGAAGAAAAATTTGTCGAAGTCTAAAGAACCCAATTTCTATTTGAGAAAGCCTTTCATACGTTATCCTTAGACCTAGTATTGTAATCATGAAGTTCTCTATTTAGGAAAACATTAAAAGAATGTGTAAACATGTTACTCTGGCTCTTAAACATAAAGATGCTCATAAAACACGTCTTCTTGAGAGCAATTTCCACCCACGTTTATCTCAAGCCTAAGTGGCAGATGTACAAGGGTGTAAATCTAAAATTATACGCGCTTTTTGTTATTCCATTAAAGCCACGTTACCCCTATCTCCCCAAATAATATTAGTCGAATATAGGTAGGATGTAACTGTTAAAAAACATAAGCCTATCCTCCAGTGGTAAACATTATTTTTTACGTCTAAGAAGTTCCAATTTCTTATTTGTCTTATTACTGATATAATCAATATGATCTTGCCAACTTATTAGATGGTTATTGATAACCACACTCAAGTACGAAAAGGAGCTAACTTCTTCAATACTCTTATCATCAGTGGTAATTGAGATTGAATTCAATTTTTTCAAGCGCTGGCGCAGTCATTCCTTCCTAACCTACCCAGATAAATTTAGTACGTGGCTCATATCTAATCAGCTTACCCTGAATATTAATAAAAACAAGTTTTTTAACATTGCTACCTATGTTGAAAAACTTCTTTTTATTAATCTTCAGGGTAAGCTGATTAGATATGAGCCACTTACTAAATTTATCTAGGTAGGTTAGGAAGGAATAACTGCATGAATTGATAAACATAGAGATAAATCTTGAAGGGAGATGTAAAAGAAGCTATATTAAGTATCCAAGTACCACAAACTAAAACTATGGGTAATACAACAGTATTAAGATATAATACTTACCAATTGAATCCGTTGTTTCTGAAGTGTCTGCCCATTGGCCTGGCCCCTTCATATTGAAAGCTCGGACTCTAATGAGATACGCTGTCTCACTGCTCAGGTCTGTGAACAAACAGCTATGATTTGAAACGAAGGCCGTGCAGTTGCGCCAGCCACCAATTCCCCCTCCTAACGTACTTAACTGGACCTGATAGCCAGTTAGGACCGCCACCAGAGTCTAGGGATGGTGGATTCCAAGTGACTTCAAATACTCCACACTGTCTTTGTTTGACTCCAGGCGGTTCCTGCTGAAGTGGAACGCCTATAATAAAATTAGTGTGTGATATTTAGGCTGCCGATAAGGACAAAGCACAACATTTCAAGTGCGAAATCTCACTTACAACCCCTTCAGGAGGTCTACAAAATTGAGTTTCTAAGTCAATCTTAAACTGCGATCAGGCGGTCCTTTTTCTCTTTTGTTTGGGAGACGAGGGGAAAAGGAAGCCTGATAAATTACTTCACGCGTCGTCTGCTCGTAGTCCAGAATCTGGACTTTTGTCTGATAGGTTGACAAACAAAAGATCCTTCGCAGCCCTGCATCATTTGGTTACAAGCAACATATTTGACTTCTGGTGCAATTAGATAGGTTTTGTCACCTTCGCATCTTCACGACAGAAACCCCAAAATGATCGCTTAAGGCTAAAAGCTAGGTCTCAAAAAAAGATAAATAAATACTTTTTTAGTAAATCAAGTCAATAATGCAGAGAGAAAAACCTTGACAGCCCATGAGGACGAGTTGTTATTTGTCACCGGTAAGGATATCCGCTATTTCTTCTTCGACGGGGAGGGGGTTACTTCCTAGAAGTAATTGGTTAATGGGAATGTGCCGCTGGATGGGGTCGCATTTTCACTGCTAAATTTAGTTTAATGGGGTTACATTTTCATTGGTTGAAAATCGCTTGAGTTTCCACTAAAATCTGACACGACAACACAAATGTTGACAGATGCCTTAATTAGGGGGCGGCAGGCGACTCGTGGAGTAAATGCTTGTCTTTACACTAGGCTTTTAAGTAAGACTGAAGAGCTGCTAAGTTTTACTTAACCAAAAATGCGTGTGTGAAGGCCCAAGTAAAATCTCAAATAACTTAACTTTGCATCTTGTTAAAGTAGGAAAGATGAAACGATTCAAGAAAGTTTAAGTGACTTGAAAACCATCCTTAAGACCGACTTACCTTAGAGAAAGGCGAAACACGTCAATCAATCTTAGTTATGTTGCGTGGGAAAATAGCCTTAAGTTAACCTCAAGTAAAAAAGAATCGATCTTGTGTGAAGCTTTATTATACTTGGAGTAATTAAAATTTACTTGCCTTGAAATATTTCTTAGCTTATTTAGGCTCTAGTGTAAGACTACCAATGTATCAGGCGTTCTTTTTTCGCCTTTCCCAGAAAAAAAAAAAAGAAGAAAGAAACGCCTGATCGCAGGTCAAGCCAATCTTGACCTGTCAGGTGTCGCCAACTTGGGAAATATTAAGTGTAAACTGACCTCAGTGTACCTTATTACATGAAATTTTCCCGACACCAAAAAAATCGCGAAATTAAAGTGACACGAACAATAAGTGTCGCGAACATAACATGACGCGAAAATTAAGTGAATTTAGTGACACATATCAATAATCAAGAAAGAACGAGTTTATTACCTCTGAAACGTTTACAAAATCACATTTTTTTACTGTTCATTTTTCCTCCGTGCAAAGTCTGTAGCAAGGAATTTTTAGTGTAAATAGATGTTGTGGTCAATTGACTCAAGAACAATAGTTTGCGTACAAGCATGAACTGCTTGTGGACATTGTGAGAACTGCTTTGTTGTTTAATACTGTTGACATTTAGTCCCGCTGTTGCATTTTCTTAATTTTGACGTTATTGCTCCTTTGATAAAGTCGATTTATTTTATTCAAGAACATGTTAAAAAACATTGCCAATGAAATGTGAATTGAGGTGCTCCAAAACGCGCGAAATTAACGTGATTCAAAATATAAAATTTTCGCAAAATCGCGAAATAAACATGTCGCGAAAATTTCTTGTAATAAGGTACATTGAAACTAAATAGCCCGGCCCAGCTAAGTTAAGGAAATACTCTAAACTCTGAGCCTGACTTTCAGACATTACTTCGAGTCGTTTTTACTCCCTCAGTGACGTCTGAATCGACCGACCGTTAATGCCGCCCAGTTACGTCACTACCCTTTGCCTTAATTCATGCAAAAAGTAAAACACGATTTTCAACTGGGAAACAAAGAAAAGTCAATACCGTCAGGTAAAGGCGAGCATGGTACAGAGTTGCTTTACTATTAAATGGTAATTCACGTTGAACGTTCAAACTATCCACTGCATGCAGAACTCTGAACGAATCTAGATCTGTTGCAAGTTAGTAATCTAACACGATCGCGGTCACGCGATGAAATAAATATACACACGGGACACTTCAAAGCACAACAATTTGCTTAGAAGGAAAGAAGCTATTTGTTGTTCCCTAATGAAGATGAAAGAAAAAAGAAAAAAAGAAAGAAAAGCTAACAGAATCGTTACACTTGACGGTGGAAATGACAGGAAGTTCAAATTATAAATCTCATAAAAGCTTCGCACAAACAAATTCACTGCCGAAACCACAAAGCGGCTCTACATGAAAAACCTACCGACTCTGCGCATTGATTCTTCATGCGTAGTTAAATAGTTTCAAAGACAAAGGCAAATTTTCCTGTTTACGATAAAGATTATCGAAATTTTTGAACTCCACGCAAGCGATCCGCTAAATATCAAACGACAGTCCCGCTAAAATTTCTCATAATTATGAATAATTATGCAAATGTTTGGACAATCAACCAATCAAAATCACTACCCGGTTTCGGGTAGTGACGTCACTGGATGGCCTTAAAGCTGGTCGATTCAGACGTTACTGAGGGAGTAAGCGACTCGAAGTAATGTCTGAAATTCAGGCTTCTAAACCCTAACAAAAGTGCATAATGGAGAGCCGGTACAAGAAAAAGTGAGAAACGTCGGTTGATTCTCAGCGGTCAAAATCTCCATAAACCACCTCGGTTTGTGAAACACATAACGACCCTAATACCCTCTTCTGTTGTCACGGCCAGCACTTTGGCATCTTTTATGCTGCTTCCACGGTCATTCCATGCTAGAACCATAATTTTGTAGGTGCTACTGCAGTTCAGCCTAAGACGATAATTGGTTAAGTTTCGCTCTATGAAGGTTGTTTGCCACATTATCAGCTGATTAGATTGCCTGTAGTGAACGGTGTATCGAGTTATCGGGCAAGAATTATATGACGGGATATTCCATGAAAGAGCTGCATAACAACCTTGAGGTTCGGCTAACACTTCGAATGATGTAGGTACACCTAAAAAGAAAAAAATTCAAGATAGTGGTACACCTCTCGGCGAGTAACTACAGTAAAACCCCGGTAACTCGAACTCTGAAAGGAAACGAAAAACAGTTCGAGTTAGTGGGGAATCCGAGTTATAGGGGTAGATTTCAGTGAAATTCTGATCAAGGGAAAGGAAATTTGGTTCGAGTGAGCGGAGAATTCGAGTTATCCGAGTTCGGGTTTTCGAGGTCCTGCCTCGAAAATTAGTTAATGCGGACAGATAAGAGATACTTATATAAGCAATAAAATCAACACCGCTTTTGTGACTTACAGGTAAGAAAGATCGATCTTCACCAAACAGTGATGAAAAAAAAATTAAAGAAATTACTAATATCAACACTCACAGGGGGATATCCCAATACAACCGACAGTTTAATGCGGTCTATGCAATCTGGCAGCTTACCATAAATCAGCTGTTGGAAGGAACGTCCGACACAAGTTATATCCTTTATAACATGATGATTATAGTATGTTGCCCAGTATCCGGCCGGTACCAATATCCGGCCACTTAAAACAAAAACTCAATTGCAGCTTTCGGTAAACGAAGTATTTCGAACGGGAACTGAATATTTCAGCTTTAAAATGCAAGTTTTGGCGTGTTTGCAGCTTGAGAGACAGTTGCGGAAGGCGCTGTTCTGTTCAGTGAGTAAACTGTTCATGGCTAATATTAACGCTGTTTACTGCGCAGTAAAACTAGTGCTGTTCAAATAAGGTTGGTAATATGTGATATTTTCAAAAACTGTTTTATATTTGAAGTGAAGATACTAAAAGAAGTAAGGTTGTCATCAATTCTTCTTGAAACTCAATTTATATATTTTTTGGAATAAGGGAGGCCAGAAACATTCACTAAGTATTAATGTCAGGTGCCCAGTATCCGACCAGTTTTATCTTTGCTGCGCTGAATCGATGAATTAACTGCGAACATCATCTAGACAAGATTTATTTCATATCTATAACTATAGTTAAAGCTTAGGATATATAATATAATCTGTTCAATATAATTCTACTCAACTCCTTATGAAAATTTTCTTTACTCATTCAGGGGCGAACTGATTTTGCCTGCACGGCTTGTTTCGCGTGACTGCATTACCTATTTTTACAGCGGTTACCTCTAACACGCGCCCTCCAAGGGTTTTTTTCCAGGCGGTGTGCGTCACGAGATTCGACCAATCAGAATGCGTTGTTTGTAGAGTGATTTTCGCGCTTACGACGAGCCGTTTTCAGAGGTGTATATGATGAAATTTTCGCTTTATTCCAAGCTTTTGTGTGTAATTTCTACACTGTACTGCCGTGGAAAGTTGTCGGAACACTTAATCTTGATAGTAGTTACGTTACCTTTAAATATTTTGCTTTCTTGAGCATTTGTGAATAGTTTGAATTGCTCGGTCATGACTGCAAGCCGCCATGATGATTTCAGTGTTGTTTTTGTTGTTCTTCTTGGATTCATTGCTGGTTACTGTTAGCGGTTTTATCGGATTATTTTGGTCATCTTGTTAGTTTAACCTTTCTTCTTTGCAAATCTCGGGGTCTACCCAGGTCTACCCCTGTTCGTTTTCCCGTTATGAGCCGTTGAAAGTGTCTTGGAATTAACAGATCGTCTCAGCCAAGACAGTACTAGCACAACTCCCGGGAAACGGGCTGAAACTGGCATGCCGAAGCGGAAGCCGACGTGAAGGGAGTAACGCCAAATCCAAGAAGAGTTTGTTCCATTTTAAACCAAAAAAGGTATATAAGTTTGAATA